CCGTGGCCTTGGTGTTATCAGCACCACACTCTACCGAGTGAGCCACGGGCTGGCCCTACAAATCATTTTTAAAGCCTACAAAACTAACACTATTTTTATAGGTGATACTAACATACATTGCAAAATGAGAGAAAAGCATGAGAATGATAAAAATAACATTAGAATAGTGTCCACCTCTGTGGTAGGAGGGAAGTAGATGGGTTTGAGTAGGATGGTTAGATACACTTGGCTGTCAAAGTAGGATATATAAGATTAAAAGAAGGTGCTAAAAATTATAATTTTTAGAAGATTAACACATTATCTGACAAGTTGGTTTTATGATGATTTATAGTTTAAATGAAAAACATTCTTCACTTTCTTGATAAAATAAATTCATTATTTAATTTTTATCAAACATGCACTTCCATTTTTTTTTGAGCTCCTTGCTTCCAGAACAATCGGTGCTGTCCTAGGTAAACTAATACATATTGTTACCCTAGGGGAGGGGCACTCGCACTGCTTCAAAGGTAGTGAAGTACTTCTACTTCCTTTTTTTTTCTTTTTTTTTTATCTCTTTGTTCTTTATGAGTACTTCTACTTCTTAAAACTGGGTAGTAGGAACAGTTTGCCAATCCTTCCTTTATACCATATACATATTTTATAAATACCTATTTCTACCTATTCAATATTTAATTCAAATTATTTAAAAGCAAAGAAGAGGACATACTTAATATACAAGGTCTCATGTAATATCCATCCTTTAATTTGGGATCTGGAGGTACATATATATCTCCACCACATAATACCTTAGCACCCTGCCAAAAAAGAATAAAAGAGAATACATATTTTGTATTAGATATATAATCCCAATACATATTCCTGAAATGTTAAGTATATTCTGAACAAATGCATATTAAGTCTCCCCAATGCAAATATAAAGCAGAACACTGGCTGGGGATGCTTAATAGCTACACGGATATTAATATATGAAAAGGGCACACAGTAAGTAACTTAGGAATGAGGAAACTTCAAAAACTTCATGAAAAGATTCTTATTATTTTTCAATTCTTTTTTTCCCACAAACTTTTTGAAGTACCTTGTACCCTCCTCTCACCTCACCCCCACTCATTTCTCACCTGCTCTTTTTTTTTTTTTTTTTTTTTTTTTTTTTTTTTTTTTTTTT